AAAAAAAAAAAGTAGGGTTGAGAACACTAGTCTCTTTAATTTTTATGGTTTATTTGACTTATAGGTGTATGTGGATTAACTCTAAATCAGAAAGCTAGACAACCAACACGAAGCGATCTCAGGCTGTATGGTCCCAAAGCCCAAAAGAATTGATACTCTTTAATTTAGAGTTAAATTTGGAGTTAATTTAGTCTAACCTCTCTTCTAGATTGTCTTTCATCTATTTTTTATTTGTTTATAATTGTGGTTAGATTCTCTAATTTCTGCCCTTGGATATAGTTTGATTGCTAGAAAACTATAATCTTAGAACACATTAGTTTTACTCTTTGCAGAATTGCCTTCATTGAATTGACTTTTAATGTTTATGTCCACTTCTATTTAAAGTCATTATGAGAAGCAATTTTGTTAAACTTTCTAATGACTTTCCTGCACAACTGTTGTTGAGAACATTAACCAGTACTTCATGCTTTGTTTTTCAGGTAAATTCCTATATGATACAATTCTTTAAAAATTCAGAGCTGCAGATATAGAGCACCAGTTAAATGAGAGGAACCTTGGATATCATCTGTTTCCAACCTGTTTACAGATGAAGAAATTGAGGCTCAGAGAGGTCAGCTATAAGTAGCTGGCCTAGAACCCGGGTCTAGAAATTGTGTCTTCTAACAACTGACCCAGTTTTTTTTTTTTTTTTTTAATTTTTAAAAAATTGAGGAGAACTTGAAATTGACATAACAGAGTTAACCATTTTAAAGTGAACAATTCATTGGCATTTAGTACAGTCACAGTCTTGTGCAACCACCACCCTGTCTAGCTCCAAAACATTTTCATCACCCCAAAAAGAAGACTGTATTCATTATAGTTGCTCCCCATTTTCTCCCTATTCCCTCACTTCCCAGAGGTTGGCATCTGTCATCTGCATTCTGTTTCTATGGATTTATCTATTCTAGATATTTCATATAAATGGAATCATACAATATTTGACCTTGTGTGTCTGGCTTCTTTCATTTAGCACAATGTATCCATGTTGTAGCATGTATCAGTACCTCATTCTTTTTTTTTTTTTTTTAAAGATTTTATTTATTTATTTGACAGAGAGAGACACAGTGAGAGAGGGAACACAAGCGGGGGGAGTGGGAGAGGAAGAAGCAGGCTTCCCCTGAGCAGGGAGCCCGATGTGGGGCTCGATCCTGGGACCCCTGGGATCATGACCTGAGCTGAAGGCAGACGCTTAACGACTGAGCCACCCAGGCGCCCCTACGTCATTCCTTTTTTATGGCCGAATAATACTCTTCTGTATGTAGATACCATAATTTGTTTATCCATTCATTTGTTGATGGACGTTTGGGCCACTTCCATCTTTTAGCTATTATGAATAGTGGTGCTGTGAACATATATGTGCATGTATTTTGAGTTTTCAGTCCTTTGGGGTATATACCTAGAAGTGAAATTTCTGATCATATGGTAACTGTTTCATGTCAGACCTTATCATTTTACATATCCCCCAGTTTTGTTTGTTGTTTGCTTCCCCTCTATTCCACTATGGTAAGATCATGGTGGCTTGAAAAGAAAATGAGCCAAAGAAGAGTTTTGTTTTGTTTTTTTTTTAAAGGTATGAGCTCTCACTTGATAGGGCTTAAGCAGATTTTCAACCATGTTTATTTTTTTTTCCTAGTTGTTTATTGGTTTATTGAATTTTATTTTGGTTTGTTCTTTTCGTTTAAACTGAGTTGAAATTGTACTTCTTCTTTTCCCTTACAATATTTATGTTCTTAGAACCTTTGAGAATGATTTTAGAAGTCTAAATAAATGTCAGTTTATTTACTATCATTTATTTATCAAAATAACATGGAAATAATCAGAAAGAATAAATAACAGTGGTTATTTTGGGTACTTTGGGTACTGTCAAGAAGTTATTTGTAGGTTTTAATGGCCTGGAGTACAGGTCAAATTTCTGTGTCTTCCACTTGTGTTTTGGGGATCAATTGGCAAGGCTTGGCAGTTTGTTTTTTTTATCTCAAAAATTTTGGGACCATCCCATCACTTTAATGTCTTTATTAAAACAGTGCTTTGTATTACACTTGGTAGATGGATTTTTTAGAAGATTTTAAGTAAATGCTTAAGATGGGTTAAATAGTCCTCAAATCTCTTAAGTTTTTGAGGTAAGGCTGATTTTGATTTAGTTGGACTAAATAATGACCCTCTGTCATTATTGAAGTCTGCCAATTTTTTTCAGTATTTCATTTTTTATTTCATTTTAATTGTCATAAAATGGCCCTTACTAAATTATCTCTTTTCCAAGAAAGAAAAAAAAAAGTTAAGCTAATGTCAACTCTGGAAGAAGACTTAATTGAGTTTTCCTGTTAACAGAGAAAATTTCTTACTCCAAATAAGAGTATAAACCTATATTTATAGTCCTTGAGGAAAGAATCTGAAGGTCATTATTATTATTATTATTATTTTTGCTTTAGTTTTAGAAGCTAGAGATCTAACAGGTACACAGAATGCATTTATTTAGCTTTATGAAAAGTATTAGGTATGTTAGGCTTTTTTTTTTTTTTTTAACATGCAAAGCATGGAATTACTTTAGATGACAAGAATTTTATTATAAAGATACATGATGGAATCAGTAAAATAAGAGCTTTATTAGATATTCATGCTTCACAATAGAACAGACATGGCTGCCCTGCCTGGCTAGCTACCTGGTTACCTTGTGACCGACCCTCTTTAGAATTAGACGTTTGTTAATCCCTGTGCTAGTGCTTTGCTATTACAGTTAACTTTCTGTTACTGTGTTACTGTTGCTTTTATCCCTCTTAGCACCAACTGACAGTTTTAAGAGAAGATCTTATTGGTCACATGAGAGTCACCATTTTCTCTAGGCTGTCTGTGTTATTTGATAGGGCTTTACTGCCAGGCCATGTTACAGAACATTAAATCAGCTATAGAAATCCACCGTTATAGCTGTCTGTGGTCCTCCATGGTGGGGGTCATTTATGTGATTCAGAGCGTGGTGCTGTATTCTTACGGAATCCCTCAGAAGATCATTTAAGGTATGGTAGGCAGGCATTTTTGAGCAAAGTCCAAGAAGGAAGGCAGTGTATCAGGTGAGTACCTTGCTTGTCTAGAAAGGAAGTTTCATAATTTGACATAGTTACTACATTTGCTTTGGGTGCTGCTTTATGGATTTCTGGGGTCTTAGGAGAAAGCCATTTTATGCTCCCAAGTTTACATCTTTCATGTAGTTAGAAAAATTCACAAGACACTTCCAAAGGGTTGCTTTAAGAGTATATATATCTTTGAATTTGTTGTTATGTGTACACATGTACACACCCCTCACACGATCATTGCAAGTTAATTTTTAAGCCATTTAAGTATAGGAGGTCTATAATCCAATTCTGTCTCTTCAAAGTGAGTAAACAAAAGTTGAGAGCATTTCGATTGCCCAGATTTGCATGATGTCTTAGAGCAGAGCTATGATTAGAAGCCAGAATTCCTAACTACTTCTGTGTTAAAGTTTGTAGTGCCTATTTAGTGACTTAGAAAAAACAAAAACGGCTCTGTGTTCCTGGCATTTATCTAATCTTATTTAGGACTTTCCAGTTGGGAATCTTGATTGTAAGGAACAGAAATATACCTCCATTACCTCATATAAAAAGGAGAATTCAGGGAAGTAAAATGGAATGCAGCTGGTCCTATGGGAACTAAAAAGCTAAGGTCTCAACTCTCTGTTTCCCTCTCTTCCTCTCCCTCCCTCTCTCCTTCTTTCCACCCCCCCTTTCTTTCTCACTCCCACTTTCTTTTTCTCTCTTACAGGTAACTACAAAGTCTCTCATCTCAGCTTTTCAGAATGTATTTGCTTCATTTTCAGTTTTTCTCTCAGTTGGCTTCCTTGCTTACTTATTGGCCTATATGTCCCTTAAAATGGCCACCCCAGCCCCAAAATGTACGTATTTTTCAGGTTCATTGCCCATCATTGACTGGCTACAATTTGTACATTTTCAAGTTACTGAGAGAGAGAGCCTAGTCAGATCATTGATGGAGCCAGGTCTCACAAGGTATACATTGTCTGTTAAACAGTAAGTTGGCTTCCTTTGTGTTAGGTGTACACATACCTGGTCTAGACCAGGGTGAATTTGGGAGGGGGGAAAGGTAGATAGGATAGTATGATTCTTGGGGCTTGTGGATAACAGGATGGGATAGGCAGATGAAACCTGCCTTTTACAGATGTAACAATTACTGGTTTTGTATTTCAAACAAAAACTGGTTTGTTTTATAAACTCCTAAATAGGTCTTACATTTGGATGACAAAGACTGAACAGATCTTAGCATGGGACATCATATCCTATACATTTGTGCATTGCTAAGTTCATTAATTGTAAATGAATCTCTGAAGTCATAACTCTCAAGTTATCACTTCTAGATACATGCTTCTAGGGGATATTTCTTTTTAGCTCTCCGCCCCTTTTTTTTGTCAGATTGTTTATCGTATAACAAAAAGGGTCTCCTCCTGAATTCATTCATGTATTCATGCATATCACAGACTCTTTGAATTGTATTACATTCTAGGAATCTTGCTAGCTGTGGGGAGATGAAGTTGAACATGGTACATTCCCTGTCCTAAAAGAAACTTTAAATTTTGGAAACAGCTGTCCCTCTTGCAATTAATTAGAGGTTCAGCTCTCTTTGTACCTTTGAGTCACATCTATCTCACCTGTACTCTTTTTCCTAGATATTTCCCTAGAGCCCAACATGCCTGCAAATCTCTTCCCGTTCATTCCTAAACCTACTGCAGTGCGGTTCTATGTTACTAATGTATTGATCCTGCTCTCAGTAAAATCATCAGTTACCTTCTAGTTGTCAAGTTGTCAAGTCCCCTGGATATTTACTAGTTTATATGTTACTGAACTATTCTCTAGCTTTTGGATACTGCTGATTACTTCTTTCTTGGGGAGATACTGTTCTCATAGCTTCTGGGACTCCACCCATTCCTGATTCTTTTTATACCTTTCTAAGCATGCCTTCTCAGTCGTCATTATGGGCTTTGTTTTTCTTTTTCTGCCCCTTAAAATATTTCAGTATTTCATTCTTGACTTGCTGATCTTGATCTGCTTCATTCCAATTTGTAAGATTACTGTTTGTAACTTCAAATTCTATATCTCTAGCCAGAGTATTCCTTTGAAAATAACTTATATTACTATATCCAGTTGCTTGCTGGCTACCTTCACTTGAGATCTTGTATATTACCCTTGACATGTCCCTTAGTGAACTTGACTCCTTCATCCACAAAACAAAACAATAAACACACTGTTCCCCAACCCTGTTCTCACGTATGTTGTTTGGGGTGACTCTCTGTTCAGTCAGTTATTACTCAAGCTTAAAAAGCTATGATGATGGCTTTTTCTCATGCTCCATGCAGTTAATCACAACATCTATTGGTTGAGTCATATAGATACTTCTCCAGTTTATAGACTTTTGTGCATGCCTACTACCTTTGCCATATTTCTGGCTTTTAGGTAATATGACATAATTGCCCTCCTTAGGTTTTTCTGCCTCCGGGTTTGCCTGTTTCAATTTGTGCAGGTAGTTGATAGAATGGTTTAAACTTGTATA